GGCTGGCGGCCTAGGCATCCGCGCGCGTTCGCGCCCTGGGCCGCCCTGACGCGGGGAGGAGTGAGGCCCACGTGCGGCCCCCCACGCCAGGCCCTCGGGCAGGCCCGATGGGAGGCCAGGACAGGCCGAGGGGGCGGGGGTAGGCCTGGGGTAACAGGTGCCTCACCTCGGCTGATGGGATTAACTCTAGGGCCGCAGAGAGAGGGAGCCCAGCCGCAAAATCCCAGGAGAGGGAGAGGGAGAGGGAGCCTCTGGCGGCCAACAGAGGGCGAGAAGCAGCGGCCCGAGGCGAGGCCGCCCCACCCCCTCGGCCGTGGGCGAGGGCCCCCTTGGGCCCAGGGCAAGGCCTATTCAACTGGGCCCCGGCCCCTAGTGGCTCTGGGAAGTGGGTTGGGACTGCCAGCTGCTGGGGCACCCCCACATGGTCTCTAGTTAATTGCATGGCCGCAAGGAGTCCCACTCCTGCCCCGGCCTGGAAGGCCAGACCCAGGCCTTACCCTACCTAGAGAGGCCTTCTGTTGAACCACTGGGTGGGCCTACTAGGCCCCATGACCTCAAGGTCCCGAAGATATAAAAGGAAGGTCTTTTAAGACTTTTTGCCTGCCTTGGGAAGAGTTTTTCACCCAATTTAAACAGCACTATTCTATAATGTCTCAGTGAGTGCCTCCTTTACAAATTCCCAATACACCAAGTGTATTCCTAAAAAGCAAAAAAAAAAAAAAAACAAGTATCATGACTATCAATCGAGAGCTTCAAACCAACCCTTCCAAAAAATTCAGTTTTTCAAGAGGCTGAAAAATGCTTATTTCTGGTCATGGTATAAATCTCAACATGGTGGTGGGGTGGGGAGGGGGGGGGCTAAGACAGGAAAGTACAGGACAAACAGACCTGTCCCCCAAATAAAACAGAAGATGTAACATATAGCCATACAAAAAGAAAACTTGTCTCAATAATGAGGGAAAGAATCAGTAAGCTATTGTGATCCATTCAAATAAGACTATGAAGAGAACTGACATATAATGCTTAGGATTAGAGTGACCCCTGTTATTGTCAGATGAGAAACATTTCAAAACCCAAAGTAGTTGCCTAAAATCAAAGATGGTAATGAAACACTTCACACGTTGTTTCTCTTAGGCATACATACAACAAAGCTTAAAAAATTATGTGCAGTAAAAGCATAACAATAGCAAAACAAGCAATTATAATAACATGCTATAGTAAACTTGTGGGTTATTTCTAGAAGTTTTCATGTAATATTTTCAGAGCTGATTGACAGCAAGGAAGTGTTACTGAAACTAGGGAAATCAAGAAACAGATAAATGGGATGGGCTGAAGTGTTTTACATGGTGGTAACAAATAGTACCAGAACATCCATTTCTATAGATTAGAACTATTTACATTACTGAACTTTCTACCATTGATTAAGTAGTGAAGTAGCCCTGTGAAAGTTCTTCTGGTAGACTGACTACAATCCTCAAACTGCAGAGACCAGGAAATATCCCCTAGTTGAAAGCACCCATAGTCACCTTTTATCCATTTCAAAATCACACACATTTTCCAACAGAACATCATTACTCACATTTTACAGATTGGAAAACTGCGAGGATCTGTAACTTATTCCAAGCTGTATTAGAAAAGTATCATAGCTGGGTCTGAGCCCAGGAACATATATACACAGAATCTATATACTTTGTGCATGAAGTACATAGCTTGCCTTGAATTCGTGATCTCCATTTCACAAAGAATTTGTAGCTACTCAGTTCTCTGCATCTTATTTTGAACCATGAGACTATTTCTTTCCTTCAAACATCACCATATTCTCAGCCTCCCTCAGCATTCTCTGTCTACAAAGTGGTATCACTTCTATCCCCACAAACAGATATAACAAGCAGTGTGAGGGGGCTGTGATTCCAGTCTCCACTTTTGGAAAGAACATTTGTGCTGTCTGGGACAATCGAGTGGAAAAGTTCCTGTCATTTATTTGCAATATGAAAACTAGGCTTCATAGGAGACTAACCTAAATAAATGCAAAAATTCTAATCACTGAGCTCTGTCTCTAAAAGAAGACGCAGCATTGGCAATAAAATCAGTCTTACACCTCTTCTCAAGAAGGATGAATCATACAGAAAAGCAGCCTAAAGAATTCAGTTCGAATGCAGTTTATGTTTTGAAAATGTGAAAGTTCTGGAACAATACATACTGAAGGAATGACTGATTTTTTTAAATAACACAGTGCTGATGAAATCATGATTCTTGGGTTGCACACAGTGGGCTTCTTTGACTTGTAACACCATTGTGAATGTTCGATGTGTGTGCTAGCTCAGTCCCTATGGCTAATTAATGCAGTTACTTGCTAAGTCACACTTGTCCCTACAGTTGGCTAGTATCTACCATATTGCACAGTGTACACATAGATATCTCCATCGAATAGTGTTGTTCTAGATGAGACATGTACATCAATAAAATAGGAGAGGTATATTGGTTGTATAAGGTTTAACTTAGTTCAATAGACCACTAAAGTATTAGGAATTAGAGATCTTCAATTTCACTTGTAGCAACTAGAAAGGGGGAAGCTGTGTGAAAGCCCCTGGATATGGAAAGTAAGACCCAGTATTGATGTTCCAAGTATGTGTTTGGAATGGAAGCTTGTAATTTTCATATGTGACTTTTCAGTCTTTAAAAATCATGTAAAAGAGTGGAGTGCCCATGGGTTGAGGTTCAAAGGCAGTCAGAATAGGAAAGTTCAAGAGACTTTTTGTTGTTGACCTCATTGTCATCAATGTACTGTATCAAGTGCTTTCTTTTAATTTCATTTTTTTTCTTTTTCCCTTTGGTTTATCCTCGGTAGTCACTGTTTTTTTTTTTATTCTGGTACCCTGTGTCTTGTATATACACATATCTGATTTGGGGAAGCAATGGGAAATAACAACGATAAAGGGTGAACCAATGCAACAGTGATACAAGATGCTATGTTGGAAATGAACTTTACAACTTCAGGATCAGGGAGAAGAAAGGGATAGGGGGGAAGGGAGAAAGGGGGAGAAAAATGAAGGAGTGGGTAACAATGTTCAACAAAAAATGTATTCATTGTCTTACTTATGTAACTGTAACCCCTCTGTTACAGTACCTTTACAACAAAATGAAATAAGATTTTAATAAAGTAAGAATTAATGATTTAAATAAGATTTTAAAAACACACACAAAAGAAAAAGAAGTGGAGCTGTGGCTCAATGTTGTAAAGTACTAGCCTTTAACAAAACAGCTCAGGGACAAGGTCAAAAATGAGTTGAATCTCTGGGACTGGCACAATCAATCAATCAATAAAGTCAGATACAGTGACACACTCTTGTGGTTCCACCTTTCAGGATGCTGAGACAAGAAGATCACAAGTTCAAGGCAAGCTTAGGTTGTATAACAAGGGTGTCACCAAAAAAAGAAAAAACATCATGTAGCATATTGTAGACTACTTCATCCCTTTTGCAACCAATAACATATAAATTAGTTTGAATAAAATATAAACAGATAAATAATAACAAACCCTAATCCTTCATCATTCTCTCACAGTATTTTTAAATTTTCATAATGGATAATCTATGTAACTTCAAATAACTAAATTACTCCTAAACGAAAGTGAAACATTGGATGTTGGTGTGAAATTTAGTCTAGACAGGACCTGATTCAAGATTGGGAAAAGCTAACTAAGCCAGTACTAAAGACTAACCATCACGGCTGGGCGCTGGTGGCTCACGCCTGTAATCCTAACTACTTAGGAAACTGAGATCTGAGGATCACGGTTCAAAGCCAGCCCAGGCAGGAAAGTCTGTGAAACTCTTATCTCCAATAAACCACCAGAAAACTGGAAGTGGCACTGTGTCGTAAGTGGTAAAGCACTAGCCCTGAGCTAAAGAGCTGAGGGACAGTGCTCAGACCCAGAGTTCAAGCCTCACAACCGATAAAAAAAAAAAAAAAGACTGGGGCTGGGAAGGTGGCTCAGTGGTAGAGCACTTGCATGAGGCCCTGGGTTCGATTCCCCAGCACCACATAAGCAAAAGAAAAAAGCCGGAAGTGGCGCTGTGGCTCAAGTGGTAGAGTGCTAGCCTTGAGCTGAAGAGCTGAGGGACTACACCCAGGCCCAGAGTTCAGGCCCCACAACCGGACCCAAAAAAAAAAAAAAAAAAGACTAACCATCACACCTTTAGAGAGGACCTAGCTGCTTATATGTTAACAACAGTTCATGAAAGGAGAGAGGAAACAATAGAATAGAAGTGAAGGTCTTACACTTACTTCTATATAGATATGGTAAAGTAATGGGAAAGCAATGTCTGTAGGTAATTTTATACTTAATTATATAAAAGTATATTTTATGCTTGCCAGTTTCATTATTAATACTAATAAGAAAAAACACATTGATAGTGAGGATGCAGTTTGATTGCCCAAAAGTGGAATTGTAACTGTTTACTTTGTATTAGTAAATGTCAGAATACTTTGTCTTCAATGTTTTCTTAAAGGCTTACCTTTTTAAATGACTACCTCCACTTAAGGGTAAAAGGTTTTGCATCTTTTAGTTCATGCACCTTCCATTGTATGCAGTGTAGAATATAGTTCTTTAAACTTGAGGGAATGGATAAGTTTGGGACAGGTAGTATGATACAAGGAGTGACATTGGTCAAGCTGCATTGTGCTTATAAACAAGCTGAATTGAAATGGCTTTGGTACAACTACTCAAAAGATCATTTTTTCATGAAGAAAAAATATTTTAAGTACTTCTTTAAAAGAGTGGTGGTGGAAGTTGAGTGGGAAGATCAGTAGTCAAGGCCAGTTTGGGCCATATATAGCAAGACCTTGTCTCACAAAATAAATAAGTAAAATAGTAATATAGTTTTAGAGCTCACATTTGAAATACAATAGGATACCTAAGATCAGATTCATTCAGAATGTTAGCTAAAAAATTAAAGGTATTGCCCCTGCCCAAATATACTGGTAATGATTTAATATGTCTTTCTATTTAAACCCATTGATTAAAATGTCATTGAAAATATAAACTGTTATTTCCTCCATTTTCAGTTCTAAATAGACTCATGGTACTTCTATATTTGCTATGAAAAATTAGCTGTAGATCTTCTTGGAATTCCTTAATGTCATCTTAAAGTTATTATTTTATCTTATGTCTGCAAATAAACCCAATGGGTTTATAAACATTTAGGTTAAAGTTAGGTATCCTCT